TTACCTAAATTTTTCCCACTATTTTTTTTTAGTCACTAATTATAAAATTGTTTGTGAGAAATATATTTTCGTCACCAAAACATTTTAATATTTTTGATATCTTTTGGCGAGGAAATAATATTGTCACCAATTTTGGTGGGAAATTTTTGATATATTGAGCGGCAATAAAAAAAATAGGGTATTAATTTTTTTTTTACCCTTTTTCTATTTATTATCTCTCTCTCTCTCTCTCTCTCTCTCTCTCTCTCTCTCTCTCTCTCTCAAAATACGGTATTAATTTGTCTTACCTCTTGCTCCTCCACTACGCTGATTGCCATTGTCGCCTCTATTAGCCTTGCTGATCATCGCCACCACTAGTAGCCTTGCCGGTAACCGCCACATCTTCTTTGCTCGGTGATTTGGTACGTGATTTCTCTTTGCTATTTTTCTAGTGTCTCTTTCTCTTATTCTCTATTTGGTATGGTGACGAAAATTAGTGAAGAAAACAAATTTCGTCACTAAATAAGAATAATCCATGAGGAATTATAAATTTTGTCACGTATAATAAAAAAATAAAAAAAATAGGTGACAAAATTTATTTCCGTCAATAAATACTTACTTTTAGGTGAGAAAAAAAATAAGTTTCTTCACCTAAATTTTTCCCACTAATTTTTTTTTATGGTGCCAAAATTTTGACAATTTTGGTGAGAATTTTTTTTTTCAACAATTAAAAAATTATTAATGAGGAATATATTCGCGTCACCAATAATCTAATTTTTTTTATTTAAAAAACTTGATTTTAAATATTTTAAGACCATTTGGTGAGAAATATATTTTCATCACTAATAATTTTTAATATTTTTAGGCCTTTTAGTGAGAAAATTATTTTGTCACTAATTTTAAAAGAAGAATTTTGACATATTAGGCGATAATGAAAAAGATAGTCTATTATTTTTCCCTCCCTTCCTTCTTTTTTTTTTTTTTTTTGGGATCAGTTTTCCTAGATTATTTTTCCCTCCTTTTTTTTTTTGGATCAGTCTTCGTATCAGTCTATATCTCTATCTGTCTCTCCCTCTTAAAACAAAACACAAGTGCTGTGTGTTTTGTTTATTGACGAATTAGTTTTCCTATCAATCTCTATCTCTCCCCCTCTCCCTCTCTCTCATCCTCTCAAAACACAAGTGCTGTGTGTTCTTCTCCAGTGCCCGTTCAGTGTGTTCTTCTCCAGTGCTACTGCCAACGTCCCTATTCTCCTCCTTCAGTGTCGCCACAGACGTCGTATCTCCTTTACTGCTGTGTGTTCTCTTCCATCAGGTATGGGTTCTCTTTTTCTCTCTCTTTCTCTCTCTCACACATACACACACACACACACACTCAATTTCTCTATTTTTCTATCTTTGTTTTCCCTAATTTTTGAAATTAATTTTTCAGAATTAATGTTGTATTTTATTCTTTCTAGCAAGGTTTCTCTTCAATAAATTGTGAATGTGTAAATTGTAAACTTGGCCATCCTCAATGTGTTTTGCTTGTTTCTGCTATAAACTTGAGAATGAGTGTCCTATTGATTATAATTAACAGTTTGAATTTAGTAAAAGCCCTTGACTAAATGTGAATATTTTATAAAATTTGGATTGTTTGTCTGTATTTTTAATAAAATTAGGGTTCAACTCCTCTCTATATTTGAATGTTTGTTTAATATCTGAAATTGATGTCTGTGGTGGTGACCATTGTTTTTTTCTGTGGTTAGGGAAATAGACGTTTTGATGCCCATTTATTTTTGCTAACTCTATTGGTTCAAATTTTCCTTAAAAAAGAAAGAATTTTCTCATCTTCACATGTGCCACGCAGGAGTTTTGTGGATTACAGCCAAAAATTGTTTTTTAATATTTCAAATTATATGAATATTTGAAACATGACCAATATTCATTTTTTCACTGACCTAAATGATTTAAGATAAATATGGTGGAGCTATTCAGAGTTAGTAGTGCATCTGCATGGTTTCTATGGACTTGATAGCTGATAATAATCCAGAGTTATATATTAAATGGTTGTATAAGGGCTTAAAAATCATTGATAGTACCATATGAGTTGATCCTATGTTGCATTAGATGTGCTCATAGTAAACAGCCTCCATTTGAATTTCTTGATGTAGCCAATATGTCATGTAACATAGACAAAAACTTCATATATGAAGCCAGCACACTTGTTACACCAGAGTAGACGGTCTGGGTTATATTTTACTTAAAAAAGATTGCATGCTTATGCATGCTTAGCTGGTGTAAATTACAGGTCTATCAGTGTGGGAAGTTTGATGTCTTTTACATGATATATAGCCTACGTCATTTTGTGATAACCTTGTGAATTATTTTTGCAATTATTCTGATCTTTCTTCCCCTTTTTCTATGTGATAAACACCAGAGTAGACGATCTGGGTTGTATTTTGTGATAACCTTGAGGCATTATGATGAAATCCTCTACTTTAGACCTCCATTCTAAGCAGTTTGCTTTCTGATTAAATGTGGTGACTATGTACTTCATTTTATCATGTTTAATTTCTTCCTCCTTCTCCATCATATAACAGAGTACTCATTTTGATTTTGATTTTTGTTTTTCTAAACCTTAAATTGATTTGTTAATTAGGTATTCTCTGGATATCACCACCACCACAACCACCGTCATCGTTTTTGCTTCGAACCCCCCCCCAGTACCTCTCTCCTTCTCTCTCAAACCCTGTGTCTCTGAGGTTTAAATTGATGTTCTTTGTGGCTGTGTCTGTTCAAACCAGTGAGAAAGAATGTCTTTGCTATAGTTCTCTCTCAAACCTTGTGTCTCTAAGGTTTAAATTGATGTTCTTTGTGGCTGTGTCTGTTCAAACCAGTGAGAAAGAATGTCTTTGCTATAGTCACAAATCTCTTTGATCCATGTTTAAGAATTTCAATATTTATTGGATCTTAAAGTATACGTGGTGACTAAAAAAGAAGATTTTACCCATACTCAAAATAATGAACACTTACATGACAGTGGCTAACCAACCTAACTGGGGAAAAACTTAAAAAAGGAAAAGAAAAAAGAAAAAGGAAAAGGCAACATATAATAATTCTTGCAAAATAAAATTATGAAAGGGTTGGATAGTGCATGAAAAAGAAATAAGTTTAGTACCAAGCAAGAAACACATTTACATAACTTTGAGAACATTTCAAGAGAATTCAGAGGTTAAGGAAATAATAAAATAAAGCCAAACCAAAACTAATTTTACCTTTGCAATACTGGAGACTCATATCGCATCTATTCTGTAATTGGTGGTATAAGAGATTTCGGAACCCATTCGTCACATAACTCATCTATTTGCTAGAAAAACCAAGCAAACACTTGAAAAATGTTAGGTTGTCAAATTGTTTATGGTACAGGAGCTACTATCTTGAAACAACGGCACATAAAAGACTCATAATAGTTGTTTGGGCCCTTCAATCTTAGTTTTACAACCATTCATGTATATATAGTTTTAGCCTCATTTACCTCATTGCCTTTAGAAGTCAGCAAGTTCTCCTAAACTTCAACTCAGTATGTATTTTCAATAATTTACGAATATAACTCCACCATTATTAACACTCTCAAATCCAAGGCATAGTTGTTCTGTAATTTTCAAATTGGACAGACCCTATGTGAATGGATCAATAATTATCAATTTATCATCATACTTGCATTTGCAAGCAAGTAAACCATGAACAGCTGCAAATCTATCTATATATGCCTTCCAAAGGCACCTCAATTGAGAACAGCCAGTTTTCTTTCTATTCTGAGGTGGAAATAACAGGTCCTACATTTTGTGTCTGCATATACAGTGTGTTACTTGGTGGTGGTGGTGGTGGTTTTTACTTTCTTTTTCTTTTTATGATATTTCCATTACTGGGGACTATTTGTGTGATTTAGGCTAAGATGATATTGAATGCATGGCATGTAATACCTTTTGTTTAGTGTGATGTATGAAATTTTCAGTGGTATCTATTTCACCTATGTTGATGTTCTTTCGCGTAGTAAAATCATATTCACTTTCTGCTGATCCAAAACATACCAGTTGGTGGTATATGTTCTTTTACTTCTATTTTTTTTCTTGCCAGTTGTTCATACTCAAAGTATAGTCTTTATATGTCAATAAATTGATTTACATGGGTACTTCACACAATGAACATGCTCTTATTGACTAAGAAGCAGAGACTAATGAGCCATTTTAATATTACTTTTATTTCTTTGAGCCCATATGGCACATTACCTTGACATCATAGATTATGTTATTGCAGAGCACTGGCTGGTGTGCATTATTTGACATTTAAATTTTTTTTTATATTTGATTTGTTTGGAATTGTAGAGTATAGTCTATTAAATATATTTTTATAATTGCATTTTAATCTTAAATTTAAATAGTGTTGCGATTACAATTATATTATAATCCTAACATTATTTACGTCGTACCTTCAGGCACGGGCATACGCTAGTATTTTTGTATCTAAAATTTGTCCTATTCACCTACCTTTAATTAACTCGGCATAGTCTGACATGGACAAGAGTTGGATTGCACTAGGTAGCACAGTTGATGGAAGGATAAGTCAAGCATATTATGATGGGGTAATATCATTTTTCGTTTTGCAATGGTGGTTATCAATCGAGATGGTAAAATTTTGTGCCCTTGTTGAAAGTGTGTGAATGTTGTTCGTCAAAATTTTCAAATTGTTCAAATTCATTTGCTGAAACATGGGATTATTTCAACTTACACTATCTGGCACGTGCATGGGGAACCCCGTGAATCAAATGAGGCCCATCATCATGATATACCCGTTGAGGGAAATGAGGTTTTGGGAGGTATTGATGCCTTAGTGGAAGATCGAATAAGAGGGGAATCAACTAATACAACCCAGAAGGAGGAGGTTCGCACTTTTGATAAATTGTTGAATGATGCCAAACGTGAGGTGTACCCAGGTTGCACAAATTACACTTTGTTATAGTTTGTCATCGAGATACTTAATATGAAGGTGACAATCCATTGGAGTAATAAATCAGTTGACATGATGCTAGAGTTTTTAACTAAACTTTTACCGAAGGATAATTTGGTTCCAAAGTCAACTTATGAAGCTAAAAAAATACTACATGAATTGGGTTTGTCATACGAGCTCATTGATGCTTGTGTAAATGACTGTGTGCTCTTTTGGAAGGCGAATACAACATTGGATAAATGTCCAAATTGTAATGCTTCTAGATACAAGACAAATCATGGTAGAGGTAAGAAGATCTCTCGTAAGGTTCTTCGATACTTCCCGTTAACACCGAGATTGAAAAGGTTGTACATGTCGAGAAAGAGAGCCGAGGATATGAAATGGTTCAATGAAAAACGTCTAGATGACGATGTATTGAGGCATCCTGCAGATAGTGATGAGTGGAAGGAATTCGATTCACAACATCCTGAATTTGCCTTGGAGCCTCGAAATGTGACGCTAGGGTTGGTAACTGATGGGTTCAACCCTTTCGGAAATATGAATAACTCATATAGTTTGTGGCCTGTTGTACTCATTCCGTACAACTTGCCACCGTGGTTGGCTATGAAGGACCCATTTTTCATGCTATCATTACTTATTCCTAGTGAATCACAACTAGGAATTGATTTTGATGTCTACATGAGACCTTTAGTGGATGAATTGAATGAATTATGGAAAAATGGTACATTGACCTATGATGCCTCTACTAGTAAGACTTTTTGCATACGTGCAGCTTTGTTATGGACGATACATGATTGGCCCGCATTTGGTGACATGTCTGGATGAAGAACAAAGGGTCATTACTCTTGTTACACTTGCAATGATGAACCATATTTTGAATCTTTAAGAAGTAAGACTGCGTACAGTAACCATTGATGCTACTTGCCTAATGACCACCCAGGAAAGCGAAAGAGTAAAGCATATAATGGCAAGCATGAAAAACGGAAGAGATCTTTGGTGATACCGATAGAAAAGATTGAAGAACAATTGGCCAGCGTGACGGGTGTCACATATGGAAAACATCCAAGCAACAGAAAAAGACCTCGTCAGAACCCAAATTGGACAAAGGTAAGCATCTTGTATGAGCTACCGTATTGGAAGAAAAAGAGGCTTCGACACAACATTGATGTCATGCATGTGGAGAAGAACTTTAGTGAAAATGTTGTTGGAACTATGTTGGGAATTGATGGGAAGAACAAGGATACAGATAAGGCACGAATGGATTTAGAAGACATGAATATAAGGAAAGAATTGTGGCTGACAACAAATCCCGATGGATCATATGTGAAGCCGCGAGCCAGCTTCTCATTGACCCCTAAAGAGAGAGAGGGTTTCTTTGAATTCTTGAAATCAGTCAAGTATCCAGATGGGTACGCGGCAAACATTTCGAGATCAGTAAATGCAAAAAATGGTAGATTAACAGGATTGAAAAGCCACGACTGCCATGTACTTATACAACGGATTCTTCCAATTGGGATGCGTGGTTACGTAGATAAAGAGATCAGTACAGCACACACTTTTTGAGTTAGTTAGCTTTTTCCAAGATCTATGCTCAAGGACACTCAAACAAAGTGAAATGGAGAAATTAGAGGAACACATAGTAAGTTTGAAAAGATCTTTCCTCCATCCTTCTTCAATGTGATGGTTCATTTGGCCATTCACTTGCCACGTGAGACTATTCTCGGAGGACCTGTGCAATATCGGTGGATATACCCCATTGAAAGGTAATTTGTAAAATTGTAGTTTCAAATGAAAGGTGTAGATTATGTTGTGTGCCTAACCAATATCCTAATTGGTTATCTCTTTAAGGTTTCTCGGAGCTTTAAAAAAGTTTGTCAACAACCAAGCTCGACCAGAAGGTTCTATTGCAGAGGCTTATATTGCCAAGGAGTGCATTACTTTTTGCTCAATACATCTTGAAGGGATTAAAACCGTACATAATCGAGATGCACGAAATGAAGATTATGGAGTCCGGAAGGTTTGACAATATTCACCAAAACTGCTCGTCCTATCGGCCAAATCAGAAAGCACGTTGAGATGTCACAGGAACTTCGTGATATTGCTCATTGGTTCTTATTATACAATAGCCCTGAGATAGAGAAGTATCATCAGTACGTGTTTCTTATAATTATATATATTTTAACATTTTTCATGTTATTAGTCATTAATAATAGTAGTATTTCACTCATTAACCAAAACTATTTGAGTAGGGAACACAAGAATTTGTTACAAATTTCCACTGGACAAGATATAACTCAGATACAACAGAAGGAATTTCTGAAGTGGTTCAAAGAATATGTAAGTCATTTTTAATATTCACAATTGCCCAATTACTATTAGGTTTGTTTAAAATACAAACATTACTAACATAATTCAAGTGTTGCACATTGCATGTGGATGTAGATAAATAGATTGAGAGTTGATGAGGCACCAGAAGCAACCGAAGAATTGTGGTCATTAGCGCATGGTCCTAATTTGCTAGTGAAAGAGTACTCGGGTTGTATAATCAATGGTGTAAGATTCCATAAGAAGGAATTAGGCAATCGTCATAATAGTCAAAATAGTGGTGTGCTTACCAAAGGGGACTACAAGGGAGAGATGCATGAATTCTATGGTCACTTGTGCAATATTTGGGAATTTGAGTACATGTTTAAAAATAAAGTTATTTTTTTTCAATGTGAATGGTACAACACCAGTAACACTGGTAGAAGTAGAACAGTACAACCTGATACATATTGCACAAACATCGATGTCACAAGTCGATGGTATCAATCTAACCCTTTTATCTTGCCTAGTAAAGCTAAACTAGTGTTCTACCTGAATGACACCAAATGGGGGCAACCTTGGCAAGTCGTGTAATAGGTCCAACATTGGGGTGTGTTTGATGTACCAGAGGTTGGTGATGGAGAACCACCAGATCAACCAGAATTTAATGATGCATTCCAACAAGAAAACATTAACTCAGTTGTCCCGATCAACATTGAAGATATTATTTGATTTCATAGGGATGATATTGAAGTTGAGGTTATTCCGAATAAAATAAAAAGAGATGGTAGAGATGACGAAGAAGATGAAGAACTTGGCATACTTGATGATGATATGGATCCTGATATGGATTATGATATTTAGTTTTTGTTTTTTTTTAGGTTTCTATATGGACATATGTTTTTAATGCATTACATAGTTATGCTATATTTTGTTGTGTCTCTTCAAGTAAATATTATGCTTTATATTTTATGTTTTATATCAATTTATGCTTTTTAGTTACCAAAATGGCCAAAGGGGAGACCCAATGGATCAAACTAGGTTTTCTAGCAAAACAGAAGCGAACACAGTACGAAATGGAAAGATATAAGACAATCAAGAAGAATAAAAAGAAAATGGATGCTCTACAATTGAAGCGCTTAGCAACTTCTTTGATGGGTTCTACTCAGCCCAATCGTGTTAATCAGAAGGGAAAGAACATTAGGGTTGAGGTAGATGATGATGACTACATACCGTCAGATCATGAAGATGACACTGATGATGCTGAGTCCTTTGAAAGTGTTGACGATGAGGTACTATATGTATGGCCATTCATTTTTGTTCTCATGTCTCATAGCTATATATTCATTAATGATGCTTTGTTAATACCATCTTTATATTTCCATATACTTTTTTGGGTAAATAAGTCATAAAATAAAACTAGAAAATATACATCCTACATACAACCTCCATAACATCAACTTTAGTGTTCAAACTAGGAATATAGAAACCAATCCAAAAAAGTAACCTCACATCACTAGGCCCTCAACAACAAATTCCCTAACAAGGCACCAGCACAGATAGAAACCTACAAAAGCAACCAGTTAGGAAAAAATGTTGTACTACATGTTGCATCGTTTTGCCATGTTTCAAAGAATGAATAATACAGATTTCGCAAAGACTTGAACCCTAGATCAATGTTCTTCCATAATTATTGATAAGTCATATTTACAATCTACAACACTTCTAACAATTCAATATTTATGAAAGTATAAACAATTTTGAGATTAGCATCTAAATCTTCTTAACAAAAATTATAAAAAAGCTGGCATGTAATGAAAAATTAAATTTGAAATATAGATGAATCAATTTTGTAGCATTAGTACCATCTGCAAGGAAAAAATTAGTACCATCTGCAAGGAAAAACTGATCTTAAGAAGCTCTGCCCTCTTTACACCATCCGTAGAAGTTGACAGAGCAGCTGGATTGATTACAACTCCTGTGACCAATCAAAAGAAATAGCCAGCTACAGGGACTATAATGCATTCCCCATCCATAATGATCAACATCCTGGTAAAAGATATCAGGAAAATCAAATTGTTCCTGGTCTTTTTCTTATATAACCTGTGTGTAAACATCAAAGAAGAAAATCCTTAGGGGAAGTCCTTTATATATGCCCATTGTTCAGAAGTTTTTTCCTTATAAATATTTGGGATAACTTTTCTCATGTTGACCAATTTCTTGTGATAGGGCAAGTGATTTCATGGACGACGGGCGGGAAAAGTATTGTGATCTAAAGATAACTGTTATTTATCAGTTTTGTTTTATAATAGAATGGTGTTCATAATTTGCACTGCAGTTTCAAGAGTTTTGAAGTCCTTTCCTCTCAAGAGGCAGACCAGTGACATAATTCAACCCTCTGCAAGGGAATATAGCCTCCAATAGCATCCTACCATCCTATGGTAATAACGTGGGAATAAAAGGAAAAAAAACATCCTACTATCCTATGGTAATAACGTTAAAACATCAACGCCAAAAGATGTATATGGATAGCAAAAAATTAAATAATCCAGAAGGTTGAACATGCAACTCTGGGGAATAAAAGAAAAGAAAAGAAAAAAAGAGAAAGGACAAGAAAAGACACGTACCACTGCAACTGTTGTTTTGAGAGACAAACCATGAACACTGGGCAAGATTGATTGCTTAACTAACTGCAAAAAATTTAAAATCGATAAGCACAAGAAGGTTAGAATTATCAACTAAAGTGAGTTTAGAATTGTATTACTGGCTAATATTTCGTTATGCTTTTGTATATATTTTTTGTTCCTAGTATGAGTTCGGTAACATTTGCCTAGATGTGGGTATCCTAATTCTTTTAACTATTCTATAACAATGCATCAAGGGATAACTTTCTATCATTACCTATTTGCCTTAATTATGGATGAATTGACTCAACGCATTTAGGATGATGTTGCATGGTGTATGTAGTTCGTAGATTATTGTTCTAGTGGATGAAACTAATTGAGGAATCAACCTTAAAATAGAAATCTGGAGAGAAACAGATTTTATAGAGAATAAACCATTAGGAGAAGCAGTCCAAATAAGCTTATCAGGACTAGTCTTGGGAAGAAAAGGAGTTGACTGGATCAGACTACAAATATCAACAGTGGCCTTGATGAGTTTCTATATACATATCTTTACTTATCCATTTTTATGTATTTATTGTTTATGCTTTTGTATTATGTTTTTTAGGGCTTACCAATGCCACCAAAACGATTGGCGCAGTCATCTCCTCAACCTTCGCACGAGGAAATTGTTGTTTCGAATGGGGATTTATATAACAATGTGGAGACCCAACAGTCACAACCACTTGATCTCGATATAGAGGCACCGAGGGAGGCAGCCCCCCAATCTAGTGTCAGTAAGATGCTGAATTTTACTTTTAAAATGAAATCATCTATTTTAATATAATTCTATGGTGCAAAAGAACAGACTCTGATGAATGTTCTAGACCTTGAGTGCCTAACAGTTAAAGAAAACTTGAGTGCCTTACTGAAAACAGAGTTTTGCTCTAATAAATTGCAGAGAAAGTTTTCAGTAAAAAAGTTTTACTGACCTTGAGTGCCTAACAATTAAAGAATACTTTGTTCTCTAAAAACTTTCTTGGGGCAAAATTCCTTTATTACTGAAAACTTTTTCTGAAATTGAACTTTAAGATGAACAAAAGAACAAACTCTAATGAATGTTCATTTCTCAGCTCTAAGCTACACACACACACACACACATAACAGTTAAAGAAAGAGAAGAGTAACTAACTAATAACCAACATCTAGAACCAAGAGACATGTAAAGGCTTGGTAAATATATCAGTAACTTGGTCCAAAGAAGCAACATAAGAAACCACAATCCGTTCTGTGAAAACAAGAAAATTCAAGATTATGAGAAGAACGAAGAAGCTGCAGAGGTAGGAAAAAGTGAAGAAACAAGAAAATGGAAGAGCAAATATAACTGTGAGAAAGATAAAACAACTTGAGAAAGGAAAAGCATCAACTTGAGAGTAGGGAACAAAGCTGTAGCTGTATCTGTGTGGCTGCTAGTAGTGCTGTTCGTGCAAGGCTCTTAATGGCAACAAATGTGTTCCAGTCACAATCATCCCAATTTATACCTTATGTTCCATGTATGAATCTCTAAATGCTTAGTTTAAAGCTAATGGCTAACCAATATTTGGACCTTTCCCAAAAACTGTAATGTTTATGGCCCACTTGTAGGTCGGTTTAAAG